CAGGATCCTTGAGATTCAGGATCCTGACAGATCCTTTCAGGGTTTCTCAAGGAATGAACAGGATTGAGACTAGGGAAGGTTTCAGTAAATTTATAGTCAATGACTATCGATCACATTACGAACTGTACCTGTTAATCCCATTTTTCACGAGCTTTCATTTTGTATAAAATTCAATATTGATATCACTTGCTGTTGGACCTCTACCCCCCGAGCAAAACATTTTTGGCAACCCTGTATAAATGTTAGACAACTATTATTTGGTTAAAAAGCCGTGTAATGGGTTCATACATCATACGCGGAAGCAACAATAGTTTCGTAAAATTTCTAAAAGTTCAGTAGATATGCTGCAAAACTATTAGGGATTCAGTCGATTATATAAAGGTTTTTTATTGTTGTCATGAAGCCATTACTGGCTCTAGTGGATGTATGATAGTTTCGAATATGTTCTCCGAAACTTTTCACCAGTTCGTAACAGATATATGGAACCTTTCTTGGTTCAGTAATACGATCACTGTTTAGTCAAAGCTGGTAATGGTTCAGCATAACTGACATGAAGCCATTGATTACTTAGTAAACCCTCTGATGGTTTAGTCTATCTTCGACCGAACTGTGAGTGGTTTCTTAGTGTTTGTGAGGAACTTTTTGAAAAATACGAAACTTTATATAGGTTGTGGAGAAGTTTTACGGATCCTTTATATGTAATACTGAGCTGTCGATGGTTTCGTATACTCTGTACGAAACCATTTGTAGTTTCGTATAGTATCTAATGGTTCTGAACACAATGTACGAAACCATTCATAACTTGATAAATGGTGTAGTGGATTAGCATATATTTTTACCAAACCATTGCGGGTTTCTTAGAATTTGTGGTGAACTTGTATAGTACTTACGAAACTGTGAGTGGTTCGGTAGAAGTTCTTCGGAACTTTTAGGTATAATTTGAAGCTGGTAAGAGTTTTTCTGATAGAGTACGAAACTATTACAAGTTTGGTTGCGAACTCTCAAAACCCTCTGAAATTTTCCGGAGTTAAAAAGGTTGCGTGCAAAAGTTCGGAAACGATTTTCGTACCACAGAAGTTTAAATGGTTTCATAAATCAGTACTAAGACTTAAGAGTTCGGTGAAATACCTATTGGTTTAGAGTATTAGTGCAAAATACTAAGATAAGTTTAGTAGGAGTCACCCGAAACTTTTATCTATTTGAGAAGTGTACAAACAGTTCCATGAAAATGCTACCGAACCATTTGACTTGATCCCAAACTAGGGGGTTCGGTGAATAACTTCCGAAACCGTGGCTCTTTTCGTATCGTGTTTATGAAACCTTTATATATCCTACCAAACCATGAACAATTTCATAAAACATTTACGGAACTTTCAAACTTCGGTAGAAAGTCCGCGAAACTTTAAAAGATCCTTTACGAAACTTAAAAAGTTTTGTGGAAAATTTTCAGAACTCTCTTAAACATACTGAACTTAAAAAAGTTTTTGGAATAATTACCAAACGATTTTCGCTCTGTCGAACTTAAAATCGTTCGGCAAAAGAGTCCTAAACTTTTGAAGTTCCGTGAAAAACCTTTTTTTAGAGTGTATAAAGACATAGTAATGAATAGAAATAGCTTTTCAAAAAGAGGAAATGAGAAGTGAAGGGAGTACTAAAACAAATATCGTCGAGACATCGGCAACAGGAGCAAAAAAACGAGAGACATGTGCTGATAAGCTTATGGTATACGAAAATGATGAAATCGAGATGGTTCATTGAATCTTAGAAATATTTCGGCTGCTCAACTTTAATATTTTGATCGATTTCTAACTCTAGAAACCGTAAAACTTACAATACTGAGATTTGTAACTGAAATAAAAAACGAATTAGCGTTACAATAGAGAGGGTTTTCTGAAAATACTCTAGAAAAGCTAGATCGCGTAGTATGTGAAAATCGCCAGAGTCCTTTGCCTGTTCAGCTTTTAATTTCCTATAAGATGACGCCTGAATCAACTTTCTATCATCTGCCTTTACTGCGTTATTTGACATTAAAAAAAATTGCAACTTCGAAAAATTAGGCAATCTGTATCAAAGCTAAAATTTTTCTCTAAAGACTCGGCTTTTTTTTTCTTCATCTTCGTTTTTTAGCGCTAAATCTGAAGATCAAATTCTAAAGCTTTTTCGAACTCTAGATGTTTATAAAAAGTCAGTTTTTTCAACACCTATAGTTGAAAAACCGTGGTTTGCTGGAAACCCAACTTGTGAGTATCCTGAGAAAACTTCCTAGAGACAAAAAGAAAGAGCATGTCGAGAATCTATTACAAGCCAAAAGACAGCTCAGTGTGTGCAGCGGTTATCAAGATAGCCTATACCAACGTTCTCGTATAACAGGCCTATAAAAAAAAGGACGTATATAGGGTTGTAGAGAACTCCATGGGATATTCGAATCTATAATTATTCTCCTCAAAATACCAATTTCTTATAATAATATTTGAGACATGCGGAATCTAAACGTTTTTTCCATAGGGATATGTAGACCCTCAGCTTTTATTAAGAGAAAAAAGTGCTAAGGATAATGAAATAATATTGCTTTATTCATATTACAGAAATATCCACTACGATGTACCGGAATTCAGCAAGATCCACTAAGATCCATAGAATCTGCCAGAATTCACCAGGACCCAGGAGCCGCTTTCTCATCCTTAATTAATCATATTAAAATCAAGATTGCAACTTTTTGAGTACCTTTCAGTTTTAATTGTAGCTATTTAAGAAAAACACACATCGGCTTGAAATAGTAAACATTGCTGATTCATATGAGCCATCTGTAGTTCTATAATGTAAAAGGTGGCGATTGTGTTTGACACCGTATGATCTGATCCTGTCCATTCTCTTTTTCACAGATGTCTAAATTGTATTTTCTTTTTAAGACAGTTACATCTTTCAGATAGAGTAAACTTCTATCTATGACAACCGCAGTGAGTAGCATTCCAAATACAGGACGAAGAAAGTTAGCACTTGTGATTGGCATTGGAGCATATGAAAATCTCGATGAACTACGTAATCCACAAAATGATGCAGACGACATGTCAAAAGTACTTGGTGACATTGGTTTCACTGTTGAACTTGTGTTGCATCCAACTCAGAAAAAAATGTCAGCTGCAGTTGTAAATTTTAAAAAGTCAATTCAACCAGACGATATAGTTGTATTTTATTTCTCTGGACATGGAAGTCAATGGAACGTACGTATCTGGGTTTTCTTGTGAACACTGTTTATCATGTGATGCGAATTTTGTATATGACTCTTTTAGAATGAAAACTATTTGCTTCCAAGCGATGTTCCTAAAATTCAGTCAGTGGATTTCAAAAAAGACGTGTTAAAAGCACAAATAGTTCTTAATACTTTCTGTAAACGGCGTCCTTTTGCCACGATCTTTCTACTGGATTGTTGTAGAACATATTACCAACCTAATTCACAGTTAGGTACAGGAAATGGTCTAAGTGATTCTGAAGAAAATGAATTTGAACATATCAATAAGGCTGATGTATTCATTGCTTTTGCTTGTACTCCTGGAAAAACTGCCTCCGACGGAAACAAAGAGGAACAAAATGGCTTTTTTGCAAAACATCTTCTTCAGCATATAAAAAAACCTGGTGTAGACATCGCACAAATATTACGTGAAGTTAGAAATGGAGTTTACAGCGACTCAAACTCAACACAAATTGTTCATACATACGATCTTTTACAACAAAAGAGCGTATGCTTATGTGAACCATCAAGTAAGCAATGTATTTGAATTTTCGTTAGATGTGCATTCCATTACCTCCCGGTCAA